AGCATTGCCAAGGACAGAAATCCACGCCTTTTCAGCTGTTTTCGCTATCCATGTTAAGGGAAGTTGCAAAGGCCTCTCGATGGTCCCTACAAATTGTAGCTTATCCTTTTCATGTAGTCTGTGCTACTCCAACTCACTTTTTTGTGCCGAAATACCTCTGTTTTGTGCCGAAATAGCTCCGTTGGGAGAGCGTCAGACTGAAGATCTGAAGGTCCCTGGTTCAATCCTGGGTTTCGGCCATTGTCCTTGCTATATGTGAGCTTGACATTTAGCCTTTTCAGCTGCTTCCCCCATCGATGCTGACAGAAGCTGCACTAGTCTCTTGATTTTTCCCTTACTCAAATATATCAAAAATAATTGAAACCTCTAATGGTTCTTTTTTTTTCTAAATGGATTTACATTTAATCTCACAGTTCCTTTAAAATCTATTTTCCTGAATGGTTATAAATGTATGAATGTAGAAAATGTTCTTTACATCTGCAACAGACGCCCCCCCCCCCCCCCCCCCCCCCCCCCATTTTAGGATTTTTGTTTTCTTAAAAACGAGGAAAAAGATTCACACCAGGTGGACAATGGACTGCCACCTGCTCTAAACTGCAAAATACATTAGTGGAATTTTTTTATTTCAAAGACAGAACTGAACACCAATAGTGAATCTCAATAAATCTGGATTCGACGATTGTTTCATTTTGTAGTCAATATTTCAATGTTCTACAATCATGTCTAACTGTGTTGTTGTTTTTCCTGTAAAAGTCCAACTTTTGTCCATTAAATAATATTGTCACGAATAATAATAATTCACTATCATGCTGTCTCTTGTTCTTTCAGGTGGGAGTCATATTAGTGCAGTGCCTGTTGCTGATCTTCTACACCAGCCATGTGTTTCTCTTTATCGGTACCTGCGCTTTGGGACTGTGCATTAGTAGTGTGTTCCCATCTCTGCTGGCCTTTACAGAGGACATGCTAGACTACAAAGGTAAACCGACACACACATTCTGACCACACATTCTGGGGTGAACGTGGCGCACGGAGTAGAGAGAGTTCGCCGGCAACTGCCGGGTTGATGGTTTGAACCCTAAGTGCTCGATGTCCCGCGTCAAAGTGTCCCTGAGCAAGACACCTAACTGCTCCTGGGCGCCTTCACGGCAGCACACTGCCCCCACTGGGTGTGATGGGTTAAATGCAGAGAATAATATCCCCATGGGGATTAATAATACTTTATGTAATACTAACTTTACCATTAAGCACAAACTCCATCTCTGTAACTTTTGCATTGCTAGCGGTGCATGAACCACACATAGTTATTTGAAGTATTCCTTGATAGATCATTTCTTCCTTGTGTGTTGGAAGGTTGTGCCACAACTGTCCTGGTGACCAGTGCCAGCACAGGAGAGATGGTGATGCAGCTGCTTGTTGGATCGGTGAGACATCCTTCGGCGTTCTGTCACTACACTACTTTCCAGAGTCGATTGCTAGTTGATTGCTAGTCATTTGAAATAAAATCTCCGTATCTGTTTGCATTTGTCTTCCTGCAGGTGATCCACAGTCAGGGCAGTTACACTTTCCTGTTGTGTTGTACAATATCATCATTCATTGCCTTTAGCCTGTTCCTGCTGCTCCTCCTTGTACAGCGGGTCCACAAAAACTGCATCACAGGTAAACGCATGTCAGGCAGAGAGAGAGGATTACTGCACTTTGTTGGGAATAATAAGAGTCCGTGCAATCAGCTAGTAAATCTCTTTTGCTGCTGTTGTTTTTTTTAATGTATTGATTGATAACCTGTCTTAAGACCTTCAGCTAAAAAATATGGTCGTCAATTAGAATTTTGATTTAAAATGTTACCGTGACAACCTTGAAAACATTCTTCTCTAAGTATCAAATAAGCTTTTGTTTCATTTTGGACCTATAGCTCACTAAATATTGACATACGTCTGGCATTGGTGATGTAGTAGTTTGTGCTCTCTGCATCTTTTATTTTGTCAAATTAGTGAGGAAAAAGCAACAAACTAACCACATGTTGCTGCAGAATCAATAGGAATACATTGCACATTGTTAAGAGCCAAATGGCTGTGAGGTAAAGGTCGCGATGCAAAGGTGCGTTGCTTGTTAATGGTTTTGTGTAAATGCCAGCTTCATTTCGTATCGACGTCCCTGCTGAGTGGAACTAACCAACACGCTTCATTCTCAGATTCGCCTCAAAGCACGGACATGAAGGAGAAACCTCAGACGGGGGGTTCCTGATGCAAGAGATTCCCCCGAGAGACAGAGGGGCGCGTCCAGAGGAGAAGAATGGCCGAGCGGCTCTGCTGTGGACGACGGAGAGGGAGCCAAGGAACAGGAGCATCACCCGCTCATTTCTTCACCTAAAAAAAAAGCCACACTCGAGCCCGACGATCAACGAGCAGCTCGCTGGATGGGCCAGTTCTCCACAAAGCCCTTGATCCCCCAACACCACTTTTTTTTTTTTTTTTCACCAATTTTTAAACTTAATCATTTTGGCAACGTGATTTAATAATGCACATGTCATTATTTGGCGAGGTTGAATTACGAATGCTGGAAGTCTGTCCTATGATTAGTCTATGATGAAATACTGACATACTGACACTACGACCCTTAAGGACAAGTCAAATCACGCCTTTAACTCGATCAATCTTTCAATCTAGCTTCAAAATGTTCGAGTCCTTTTCTCGTGCTCGCCCTGTGGAGCAAATAAATGCTACTTTCTTGCCTTACTGAACACAGAAAGAAATTGCACCCAAGTGAGTATTGTTGCTAATCTTTGACATACTCCAGATTATGCAAAGAAGTATATGGTATACAGAAAACAATCATGTTTGTGTTGATATTTGTATGACAATAAACAAGTCAATGTAAATAAATTGTAATCTGAAGGCTTGGCATCAAGACAATCCATTATTTAGTAGTGATGATCAGGATTGATGCTGATTAAACAGTTTAACTCAGTGAAAGTGTGAAACAGTATTAAAGGTAGTTTTTTTTACGCAGCCATTTTTGTTCTCGTCCTCTAAGTGCAATAAAACAAATGAGGCACGAGGGTCCATTCAGGCAGGTCCCCTGCAGCTTGAGTCAAAAGAACCTTTAATGATGCAGTTCTGCTCGACTCAGAGCGATCCGAGTGGCCTCGTACGACGACTCCTCGATTTATGTCCCATCGTCAATGAACTAAAATACGATACAAGAGCAGAATACGCAGACGGCTTATGGAAGAGATCTTTTATTGGTCTCACTGGTCTCTTCCGTCATAAACAAGTCTTCTACACCTCTCAAACATCAATATGCCACTTAAGACAAGCAGCTTGTAAACATCTGAAAAAGCATCGAACAAACAGAACAAAGTAAAAGCTTTCTTTTTCAAAAGGAGATTTTTACATTTCAGGGCAAGTTGAGGGGAAAAAATCATCAGGATGTACAATGAAGAAATATACTAATAAAATACCGAGTGGAGGGACGGTTCAGATGGGCTTTGGGGGGTTTATTAGCTATTCTTGTTATTAAATCAACATTCAACAGTTGCTCAAAGTTACTGCAAAAATGCAATACAAGCTGCCAATTCTATTGGGCTTTAGTATAAATCCAAAAAAATAAATATTTTGTGGTAGTGCCTAATCACAAATCTTTTCAATGGCTTGCTATATATTGTAAAAGGTCAGATTTACTGTATAAAATACGAAGTGCATAACATTATTCTCTCTTTGGGAAAAAATACATATCTCAGTAAGCAGATCAAAGAGGAAATCAGAGTCGTAGAAAAGCGACAGAATCCAACACTAGTGCAAACGCTCCATCACGACATTTGCACGTACGACATCGACACTATCAAAACATTTTACATATAAAACATAGATTTAGGTTCCTCCCCATAAGGCCTTGGTTCCCAAAAAATGGCCAATGCCAGCGTGGGGCAGTCGCCTCCCGAATACACCAGAGGAAAACCACATGAGGAAACACACATGCACGAAGAGGAGCCCAAAATACTCAACGTCTAACCATCTGGCCGTTACAAAAATAGAAATCAATCTTATATTATTGGTGTTACAGGAAAGTGAAAGATGACACAAAGATAACACAATGGTTTTATATCTATATACTTTGAGTAGATCTGCAGTCACTCACTCGTAAGCGATGTGAAACATGGCGGCCTACTCGAAGAACGTGGCCCGATTAGATTCACGCGCTCTGCATATTGTCTGCATGTACATTCATGCAATGCAGCGCATCGAATGCCCTGCGACGTGCAATAAAACAGCCCCAAGCTTTGTGGGGCTCTCGTTTGGTCAAAGATATGGCATCAAGATAGACAGTGTGTACTGTGTAAATGATAAAACTCCATCCACATCGGAGCTAAACCTCGGCTGTGTTAAGGCACCGTATATCAATGTGACAGACTGCAGGCTGAGGGGGGGGGGGGGCGGTCATCCATCCCTGGGTTAGAAAGGGACACTTGGGTAAAGAAACCTGTGTTTTCTTTCCTAGCGTCATGTAAACAAGTAGGTTTTATTTTTACTTATGGCTTTAAAAAGTCGTTTATAAAACAGTTGTGACCCTTCCATGGCTTCTAGGGAAAGGGAGGCGCTCTGGGTCTTTTTGACATGTGTCCAATGGCTAAGGCTTGACAAAGGTTAAGGCTAAACTGTCGAGAGTTTAGCCACATTGATTTGAAGGTTCCATCTGAGATTCTAAGAAAAAAACAACATCAACTTCACCAACGCTGCAAGCGACACAACGGAGCACAGAAGGAACAGAAGCATCGTCAGCAGAAACAAACCGAAGTCTGTTTGTTCCATTAACGCTGCCACACAAGACGAGAAGGAAATTCTATAAAAGGAACGATTTAGACGTCTGGTCTGCGTGTCCACGAACCGAGCAGATTGACGTGGCCGCAGGTCCGATCCACATGCGCCACCTGTGTGGAGTGCAGGACGGTGTCCGACAGGGTGCAAAGGTTCCAAAAACAAACCAAACTGGTTACCGTCGGGCTCCGGCTTCCCTCCGCACTCTGATGGTTGATTGTAGTGTGACCTCGGCGGCGGGGAGCACCAAAGTGATGAGGAATGCCAACGACTGAGCTCCAACGTCTTAGTCTTTGACGTAAGGGATGGTGTGCGTCTGTCTGAGTGTGTGAGTGTGTGTGACGGGGGGGGGCCCTATGTCTTCTGAGGGTCTGGGGTAATGGGGCCGGGCGTGTTGGTCCCATCCATGCTGTGCATGGGGATCTGGAACTGAGGGTTGAGGACGGACGGGAACTGGAAGAGAGCAGTGTGTGTTAGGACGCTTTGGACACATACAGGCGCACACACACACACACACACAGACGGAGAGAAGAAGAAGAAGAAGAGAGAGTGTGATGGACTAACTTGAAACAGGTGGGCTCCCTGGCGTCGCGTCGCCGGGCTGACGGGGGCCACTGGACTGAGCGTGCTCCAGAAGTGGATGTTGGACAGCAGAGGGCTGGGGGTCAGCAGGAGAGTGGGAGTCTGCCGGGGGAGACACACAGATGGCAGATGTTGGTGTATTACAGATGTTCAGGTTTGGTGTGTTCTAAGTACAGCACCCACAGAGCATCGCATTTGTTCATCTGTTCATCAAGCCGGCACACGTCAATAAAACAAACGTGTAAATTACATTGACCTTGACCTAAATTAGAATAATAAACTCTCGTGAGCTGGTTTATTGAATTCTGTGAATTGTGTGTCAACATTGAAGATACTGCACATGAGCTACCAGCAGCTTTCACCCACAAACATCAATGTTGATCTCATGCTTTAAAGCCAATCAGAGACAGAACACAGGAACTCGTTCATGTGGGACCAGCAGTTTGAATCTTGTGATAAAACATGACCTTCTGAATAAAAAAAGAGCATTGTCTGAACCAGCAAGCCTAATTCGACTTCCAAATTCTGCTAGTAGTAAAAAAACAGTCATGGGGCCGACAGAATGACCGAGAACCATTGAACGCCACAAAAACAGGAGAAGAGCCGGGCTTCAGGTTGCTGCTGCACTGCTGCCACCTGCTGGTCAGTATCGCTGCTCTGTGCCACGCTGTGTTCTGTCCACACTGTAAACCTGCTGCCCGTCATTCACAGCCGTTTCCCCACTCAGGGTTTTTTCTACAGATATACACATTTTAGTTACGTCGGTATCATATGGGGTCACTTACAAATACGTTTGACTCACAAATGCACGCAGAAGAATTCACAAATTCCAATGCACACATAAAGAAATTACGAATATATTTCAGCATTTGTATGTATTTGTTGGTGGATCACACTGCAATTGTTTGTGGATCGCTCCACATTTGTGGGGGGGGGGGGGGGGTTTAGACTCCCCTGAGTTGGCTGGATTGGCAAATGCAATGCAAATTTTTCAACATCTATAACCAATAAAATGTTGGCCTCATTTCCAACCATAACGTGAACAAAATAATATATATATATATATATATATATATATATATATATTACTGTAAATATTATATATATATATATATATATAACCTCACTGTTGGTTGGTTTTTGGTGCCGTGCCATTTGATTTGCATACACAGTTCAGTTTCGCTCTCATCTGGCCAGACAGGAGCATCAACATACTTTCTCTTCAGTAATAGTCATACTCAATACTCACTGCACTCAATGGTCTTGAGTGATTTACTTATTGTTGTTGTTTTTTTAAACAAATTGTACCTGCTAATTCCAGGTATTTCTGAAGCTCTCCTCAAGTCGACTTTTTGATAACTCTTCTAATAATTCCTTTCACTCTGTCAGAACCCTCGCGAGCAGCACCTGTGTGTGGCCAGTCTACTTTCTTATTACTGAACTACAGCTCGTGTCTTGGCTTTCTGTGCCTTTTTGCACCTCCCTTTGTCATGTCTTCAATTCTTTCTTCCTGTGTCATTCCATTTTATTACACATAACTTCATTTCTGAACTTATTTGTTTGGATGTCTTTACATGTATGAATTTCATGTCATTTACACCTTTAGAAATATATTTACTGAGAAAAATGGTGATGTGTTCAATACTATTGTACCCGCCACACACACACAGTATGTAGTCACAATACTCCTGAACTTCCCAAAAATGTTTGTAACATTACAGATCAGATCAATGTGAAGTTTGCATTGTTTTCGTGCATGCTTTTCTTGCATACAATGTGTACATACGGTGCATCCGGAAAGTATTCACAGCTTATGTTACAGCCTTATTCCAAAATGGATTAAATTCATTATTTTCCTCAACATTCTACACACAACAACCCATAATGACAAAGTGAAAACAGTTTTTTGCAAATTTTTGCAAATCTGTTAAAAATAAAGAACAAAAACAATCATGTGATTGGGTGAAAATTAGGGCCACATCTGATCCATGTTGAAAAAAAACGCATTTGCCACGTCGTTGACAGCTATAGTTATTACAGAATGCAATAACACAAGACACAATGACCCCAATGCTGGTATGTTTTTCTAAAAGCCATATTTCATATTCACAAAATTCCCTAGCATGGCAATATATAACATGTACTTTGAACAGTGAACAATAACTTACCCAGAAGTGTTACTATTTTCTTATTCTAACTCGCTCGATCACTTCTGACCAGTGTTGTTTTTTAACTATATTTGTGTCAACAAAACAGCCCCCATATGAGGGGGAGTCGGCGCGCTCTCACCTGCAGCACTGCTGGTGTGAGAGAGGCTGTCGGCAGAGACGGGCTGCAGAGGTTCATGGGGGAGAAGTCGGAGGCGGTGACCAGCAGAGTCGGGGGGCTGATCTGCAGGATTTTCGGCGGCTTGCGGGACTTCCCCAGGCACAGAGTGCTGAGCGTGGTGCTGCTGCTCGGTGACGACGAGCTGGTCTCAGCGTCGAGCAGACTGGCCTCGTCTCCAGACAAACCCACGTCACTGCCCGGCTGGGGGACAACAGACGGATGACAAATTCAACATGCGCTTCCTTCATTCCCTTTAATATCCGCGTCAACATGAGGTATTTGTGTGCTCTATGTGCAGTATAACAGCATCAGAACATCTGCTAATCTGGATGATTCTAATTTAATCTGGTACAATTCGGCAGTGCCACGGTCAAATGTAAGTCGGAGTGGAACAATTTTTTATTGCCTGTAACTAGAAGAAGAACAACAGAAAGTGTCCTTTGTTAAAAACCCATAGGGAAATTATTCTCTGCACTAAAAAACACTTACAAACACTTTCAGCACCAAACAGCAGAACAGACAGTCAGACAATAGCGGGTGAAAACAGTTTCACTTTCAGCAGCCGTGTTTCTCTCAGGTGTTAAAAACCAAACAAGAGCGAAAGAAAAACTAATATTGCACTAAGAAACACAACTGTCTGCTGAGAGTGTAAAAGAGGCATTTGCTTTGTGCTTTTGGCATTTGGCATGCTGCCGTGTTCGCCTTAATTTTTAATTTATAATTAACCAGGATTTGTTTCTTCTTTTTCCATGTGGATAAAAATATATTGCCCAGGTGTATAGTTGAAAAAACTATACACTATACACATACACTATACTTCTTCTGATTTAATTTAATCGACTCAAAAAGCCAATTGAGTAAAATATCCCCACACTGAACATTTGTATTTGTTCATCTAGGTGCGTGAAGATTACAGCTTTTCTGGGCCTTTTAAATAATAAGAATTACTTTAAGTGGTGTTGTGTGAGCCGCGTTGGTATGTGCACTCGCCTTCTCATGGGCCTGAGCGTCGGAGTGATCCGCTGCCTGATTGTTTGCGGGCTGAGAAGATCCCGACTCCATGTCGCTGTCGATCACCAGCTCCTGGGAGGAGTCGGGGACGAGGCTCGGCGACGGGCTGGCCGAGATCAGGTCCGGCAGGCCGAACGCGGGCTCCGCCGGGCGGACGTGCTCGAACAAGTAGACGGCCTGGGACGTCAGGGAGGAGTGTGGGCGGATGTCCCCGGCCCTCGGAGGCAGAGCTCGCAGGGAATCCAGGTAGTTGGACACCAGGCTTGGCTCCACGGCGGCCTGAGCCAGCTGCGCTGGCGCCAGCTTCGGAGGAGTGTTCCCAAACTTGATGACGGACGGCAACGCAGGCGGCTGCTGCGGCGACGGCTCCCGGGCCGAGGCGGCGGGACCCCTCTTGTCGGAGAACCTCTCCGCTGGGTTCTCTATTTTGATGGACTTGAAGAGCTGGCGGCCGTTTTGCAGCGAGTTGAGGGTAAAGGAGGTGTACAGGCCGGAGTGGATGTAGTCGTTGCGGTTCGACTGCTTGTTGCTGGAGCCCAGAGCGGCTGTGCTGCTGCGGTCACCGGACTCTCCCTCCTGCGGGGTCCCGTCGCCCCGCTTTGAGAGCTGAGGGGTGCCCCCTGCGCCCGCATCGCCGCCCTCCGTTTGGGTAGGGACCTCTCCTTTGAGTATGTCAGGATAGGACACGAAGCGATACACAAACTTCTGGCCGTTCACCTTCTTTATGATGTTCTGCAAGAAGCAGAAAGATGGACATGTTGGTTTACACTCAAAAATAAATGTCTCATTTAGTGGCACAACATGCAGTGTCCCGAGGGTTAAAAAAAGAGCTCATGAAAAAGGCTTTGTGCGTGGGACAGCTCCGTCCGCTCCGCCCGTGACAAGCGAGCAGCCGCTCATGCTGGGGCCAAAACGGAGCAGCGCAGCCGCGCTCAGAACGAGGTCACGCTGCGCTGCTGCCAAACCGCGAGCAGAGTGGGAGACAGACAGCTCTCTGCCTCCATTCCGCATGTCACTGAGATGAAGCCGTTAACCTGTGTGGTGCCGGTGCAAAGAGAAAAAGGAAGGAAGGAATTTTCCTGCACAAACTTAGACAAACTTAACCATGTTTGACCGCCACACCGTATCTACGTTGTGTGATGAAACCTCAAGCCTTTATAACTACGATCTTTTGATTGTTCTCCCCAAAAGTCTGACTAACTGACTGCAGAAATGCCCGAAGGTCAAAAAGCTTACTGTACTGGATTTGGCTTTCGGCCAGTCTCATGTATGCACGCTACCAGGGAGACTGAACCAACAGTGGCCAGCTACATCGTTGTTCAATGAACTGCTCAGATTGGTTGTTTTCTGATAATGTTCTGAGCAAAGAGACCAACATCAAACAGAAACAACAGTGAAAGCGCTGTGATTGGTTCTGACGTTTGACAAAGTTGGATCCAGGCGACGTTATTGTCTTTAATCAGGATTCTCGTGGAAATGAAAGAAAACCACATTGTGTGAGGTGCTTTACCTTGTCGTAGTAGTATCTGAGAGCCCTGCTGAGTTTGTCATAGTTCATGTTGGGCTTGTTCTTGCGGGCTCCCCACAGCCGGGCCACCTCCTCCGCCTGCAGCAGTTTAAACTCCCCTTCCTCATTGGTCCAGCAGATCAGCTGGTCATTGCTGGAATCCAGTAGGAGCTGGAGAAGGAACTGCCACAGGGTGACCGAGTTGTCCATGTCTCTCACTGAAAGAAATGGGTAAATTAAAAAACAGAAATTAGAGTGGAGATAAATCCACTGACTTGAGGACCCAAAGCACATTCGTACTCATGAGTGGTATTTCTGAACTTGATGAGCATAGAGTCCCTTTGCGACTCTATGAAAAGACTTGACCGCAGTCACCCTGGTAGTATCTTTAAAAAGCCCAAACATCCCGTCAAACCTCAAAGACTGCTGGATTCCTTAAAATACGGGCAGAAACGTGCAATGTTTGCTGTGATGGTTATTCAACTGAGAAGGAATTAGAGGCGTTTTTTACGAGCCCGGATGCGGCGCTTGGTACGAGCGCCGTTGTCCTCGTGGAATGCGTGCATCCCATGAGGGCAACGGCGTTTGTTGCACCGAGCGCCCTTACGAGCTAAACCAGCGGTTTCATGAACAGCTGGATGAAGGACATTTCCTTTGTTCTTGAGCCCAGAGCGTAAATGAATCCCCTGATGAGCTGGGGCGGCGGAAACAAGCGGTACCATTCTCGTTAGGTCAACAATACCGAAATGCGGTGAAGTCATTCCTGCTAATCCAGAAAAAAAAGAAAGCCACACCTAATTATCAAACCTTTCTTTTTCCCTTTCAAGGAGACCAAGAGAGAACGGGACTGTGATGTTGCTCGGCCGGCTCGAGGCCAAATATATATATCACTCACATCTGGATTGTAAAGAACATAAAAACACCACGGCCATGAAAAAGAAATGCCCCCCCCCCATAATGATAGGGAGAAAATTACTTTCACGGAGACGTTAATACAAACCACATTGGCCAAGGAAAGCCATTCAGAAAACGCCCTGTGAGGGTCGTAAACTTGACATGCGGACAATACTACAGTAAATATAAAAGCCATGAATTATCGTTACAAACGTCCCTGAGCTCTTCACAAAAAAACAACCGTTTAAATGAACTTTATGAAAAACTGCAGGCCTGTGAATTTTTCTTTTTACTGTAGAAAATTGTAGAATACATAGCAAATCATGCAGCATTACTTTGACAGTGGAAAAGAACAAGCCGAACCAAATCCCTGACAGATAACCAGCTTTCATTGTGACTTTAACAGTCACAGTTAGATGTACTAGGTGTTCCCATTATGTAGTTAACCATGCTTGAGTTTCACGGTAGGGAATTAATTACTATCCTGATCTCAGTTAAGACCCTACCAACATCTAGCAATTTTCTTATATTATTTCTTATATTCTTAGATATTTTTGAGAGGCTTTGTTGCAGCCCTTATATATTTATTTTCCTCGTGACATCAATTGTTTTCACTTTGGCTGTTTGCACCTCCTCACAGAGCTTCGTGCCTTTATTGACACGTCCATGGCGTATGTGTTACTGCATTGGATTATTATAGGGTAGGAGACGTTTAGCGACCTCAGGAGACTAATCTAATCTGCCCCTGGAATAAGATACGGGCATGAGGACACTGGTGCGTCCCCCTTTGGACTGTCTCAATCCGGACATGTTACCTCAGCTGGGGGCCTCGCTGAAGGGGGTCACGTGATGGTTATTCTTTTAGGCCTGTCAATAGATGTTTTTAAAATGACTAATGTCGCACACTTTTAAATACAATAACAGAGATTAAAAGGTTTTTTGTTTGTCCGTTTGTTTACTGACAGAGTGGTGGTCCTCTGCAGGGTAGATGTTGAGATGGAAGTAGCCTAGCAGCTAGCTTAGCCTAGCAGCAGCTATGTCGTACCTCCGTTTGTTTGACTTCCAATGCAAAAAGCTCTCTCCGTCATTAGCTACCGACTTGCTCTCTTCGATTTAACGGACTGCCGCTAGCAGCAATTTCGTTTTCGGGGTCAACTTTGTTTACTTCTGGCACACTTGAATACTGGAAGTAAACAAAGTTGCGTTAACTGCGTTCAAATATTTTATCGCATTATTCTCGGCCACATTAATCGCATAGGTTAACGGCCGAATGTCGACAGCCCTAGTATTTTTAGAAACATCGGTCACTACTAAGTATCACGTAGAGTCGTTGTCTTGGTAGCAGCTTCTGCAACACCTGCTTCCTGTGAAGGTTCCGTCACATCTGGTGGGTGGGGAGGCGACGAACAAGAAGGTGGGCCTTTAACGGGCAGACATTTAACCCGATCACTATGGACTCGCTGGAACACCTGTCCTTGTTGGGATAAGCACAGGTGAAATTGATAACGCTGTGTCCAGGTGAGGGCAACATTAGGGCCCATCAGTAATATGTTTTTCCCCTCTCATGAAACTGCCGTCACTCAGAGGGGCGTGGGGCTCTACAGGCTACAGCCACGTGTCTCTTGTTGCCAGGGCGATGTTCAGGAGGCAAAAAAACAACAGTTCACACGAACACAAAAACAAAAACAACTTGTGAGTGAACAGGTCCGTAAAGGCAACACGGGCCTCGCCGCAAGTGTTCTGGCGAGGTGGCTCGTGTTCCGACCCAGTTGTCCATATTTAAAAAAGCCCAGCGTCTCCACTGGTTGTGACGATGTGTTTTTCTGTGATCTGGTTTAGAGCCGCTACTCGACAACCGGTCCACGCGAGCCCGGCGGATGGGAGCTGCACGCGCGGGGACGCCTACGACTGGCCCACTTCTGCCCGTGCGGCGTTTGTGTGCAACATCTCGTTGGAATACGCGCGTGCGTGCGTGCGTGTAAGCGTCTTATGGGGACGAGTAAATCTGCCCTGACTCATCCAGACCTGCTGAGTTGAAGACCCCCCCCCCACCCGACACAATCTGTCCCAAACTGTCACGTTAAAACCCCGGATATTGGGACAAAAATAGGACAGCGTCGGGGGGGAGAGAACGAGAAGATTACCAATGGACGTTACGCAACGCCCGACACACGTTACCCACTGAGATAACCGCAGCCGGGTGCAAGTATTCACATAACGGCCACTATCAGGGCGCATGAACGCTCGGAGCGGAGCGGCTGGTCGGTGCCGTCAGCCCGGCCGCCCCCGCGCGGTGCGCCGTCAAGACAAGCGACCACTTGTTGATGACAACGTTCATTTCGTTACCGTCAACACGGACTCCCGGTTGCCTCCACACAGAGTGCCGTACACGCGTGGACCTCACGGGCCGCAGTCGTGTTTAGCGCGCGTGTGAGTTAAACAATCGGGGAAGAAATAAAAAGAACGAATCGAGGCATTGACGCTGAACGTGAACTGTGACGTTAGCCGCAGGTCTACGTTAGCTGTCAGCTAGCTTCGCGTTAGCTTGCCTGCTAACATTACCTCGCTCGTGCCGCCCGCTGAATTCCCGAGGCGTGGAGCCGCGTCGAAATATTCCCAAAACATTGCCGGTAAGCTTTTTATCGGACCAAAGCTCAGGAAGCCAGTTTCATACTGAGTGTGGAGAAAATGCCCCAACATAAAATACATTAAAGTGCTGGTTTGGCTGGTACAGTCGATAGACCCTTAAACAGGAAACAATGTCGCATTCAATGTCCCTCGTAGATCTCAAAACCAGCATCCGCCATGACCCTAAGTGGTCTGAAGGCGTTCGTTTGAGGATAAAACAGGAGATCTGAGAGTTGGTAGGCGATATGCCTTCATGTAGAAACATGCCACTCCTTATTTGACAAGCAATGTCGCAGTGCAGGCAAGATATTGCATTTTTTAGTTTTATAATTCGAAATATTATCCTAACATCTAAAAGCACTCAGTGACAACACGACTTTCTCCTGTGATATTACATTTTATTTCGGGTAGGTCCACAGAGCCTGCAGTGTTTCACCCGTTAAAACAGATCGCGTGTTCTCTCATCCCCCCACAGAAAATAAATACCACCTGTTTGTCTGTGTCATTCAAAATTCCGATGTTTTAGAGTATCAGAAATGTGTCATCAAACTCACGCTGAGATCACTTCCGTCTTGTTTCTCTAGTTTTGATGTTTATCATTTTGTTGTTACTCTACATAATCACAAAGTTTCAGCTACAATTAACCCCTCCAGAGTAGGCTCGTGGTTTTAAACGTGTTGCTGCAATATTTGAAGCCAAAGATCTTTTTTATTTTTTACAATTTGAAAATGAATCAAAACAACAATTTTAGCGCCCCTTATTATTTATTCGGTGAATGATTCAGACAAATTATGAATATCTATAAAGTTGGTCAGATTTTATGGTTTCCTGTTGAAATGCGATTAGCACCTGCCGTGTATGCAGTATATCTGTTATCCACTTATTTCAAGGTATTTTACTGCATTTAGTAGTTGCAGTAGAAATTATCTATTGTATTGATCTGTTGCAATAACATTTCCGCTTGTTTGTTGGTTTTGTTGTAAAATGCAATTGCTTACTGTGCTCTCTGCCGTGCTGGTGGGAGCTGGCCTGCAGCTGGATGCTGAAGTACTGTCTTTTAGTTGTAGGGTTATTAAAAACTTGAGTACTGTTAAATCCAAGGTGAAAGATAAACAGAATTTCCTAATCCAGTGGTTTCTTAATCCAGGTGTTCCCAAACCTTTTCTGTCAGGGCCCTTTGAGGATACGGGGACATTGGAGGGTTGTTACTTCTTTGTTTTCAATTAATGGCATTATAATAAACGCTTTATAAAAAGTGTTTTATTTATAGAACAAGTACATATCACTTTACGTTTCCACTTAACAGTTTTATTACATTTTGTAAAGATATTTTCAAGTAAATTTACTTCAAATTGGGACCAGTGGAAAAACGTATTTCAACTTTTAACAGGAGCTCAAACCATTCTTTGTGTGTCGCACTGTGTTTTTTGCAGTCTTTCTGAAGCTGCTTGTCTCTTTCTTCCCTTTCTTTCTTTCTCTCTCTCTTTCTCTCCCTCTCTTTCTCTCCCTCTCTCTCTCCCTCCCTCCCCTCTCTTTCTTTCTCTCCCTCTCTCTGCCTCTTTGCTGGGCTTGTCCGCTTGTAACCTGAGCTGCACGGGGGCGGCGTGGTTTGAACACATTTAAGTCCTCATGTCTGTTATGCTTTCACTTTTTTTTTTTTTTTTTACTGTAGTTGTGTGTTTTCAGGTTGGTAATGAAGCCGCGACCCCTTCGTCAGCCCACCGCACCCCCCCTCCCCAGGGGTTGGGACCCCCAGTTTGCGAACCACTGGCTTAATCTGCCTAAAAATGATGAGTTTGGGCAATTGATCATTTGATTGTCCCCTTTTTTTTCTTTCCAACTAAGAATCATGATGAATCTCATTGAGCTTCTGGCCCCCCAGATAGAGGGACCCCTCCCTGGGGTTTCTTCCATTTTTCACCGTATCAAAGGTTTTTTTTGTGGGGGGTTCTTTTGTCCAACTACGGGCTCCGTCACACAGGATGTCGCATCTGCACAGATTGTAAAGCCCACTTAGATACATTTTTGTTTTTTGGCTACATTAAAAATAAATTAAAGTGAACTGAATTGAATTGTAGTGATTAATCTATGACATAGATTCTATGTGATGAGCAAAATCAAATAGTCTGGGAAGTTTATGTTCAGATTAACCACTAAGTGGCAGCATACCACCGTATGTAAGTAAGTGTCACAATGATAAATAAGTTCTTATCTAACAATAGTATCTGGAGCGGACAAAGGCCTTAACTCATCTCAACCATATGTTGATGAATGAAGACGGACACATGAATAAAAGGTAAACAATGTAACGTGTGTTCAGCTCAGCCACTACATTTACACAGAAAGAAAAGCATTACACAGATTTATTGATCAAATATTTCATTTTGCCATTGAAGCTGTTTCTAGAGAAACAAGAAAATTATTTGACGATTAATTCTCATCTAATGAGGGAAGGAACTCCGACTTTTAAATCAGGGGGTAAAATGTATAAAAGTAAATTCTCACAATTGTACTAAAGGCGTTGCCGTGGTAATGTTAAATGTTGCAGCAAAGTGCTCCGGCGTAACATTTTAGCAATTTCTTTTCACTAGCCATTCATAAGAGACTGGGCTTTTTTGGGAGGGGCCTTAAAGACACAGGCGGGTGAATACAGGTTTATTCAGGCTGACGGCACAAGATAAATGAAACAATAAAGCAGGTGTTGTAGTAGAAACCCCAAATATGAGCCTGAAAATAAGCATGACGCGGCCCCTTTTAAAGCAACATGGATGAATTTTGTGTTTTGGCCCCCGGGACTCACATGTCCCCTCGGTAAGCATATATATATATATATATATATATATATATATGTATATATTCTCGCATATCCACTTCTTACTGTTCATATTGCATAACCATTTCTTAGTGTACATATCTATTCGTTCACTTATTACACTTTATATATGCACATACTCTGCACTTTTTGCACTTCTGGTTGGCTGTTAAACTGCATTTCGTTGCCTCAGTACTTGTACCCTGTGCAATGACAATAAAGTTGAATCTAATCTAATCTATTGGCTGTGTTTGGTCTCGGCCAGCTTCACAGGGAAGCATTTGGCTCTCAAGCAACTGAAACTGTGTGTCTTCCATTTGGTGCATGTGGAAGTTCTGGGCTGTAAGACAAGAACCACGAGGCTGAAGCGCGTGGGGACGGCTGAGGAGAGCTGCAGCTAGTTGAGAATTCACAACTACAAGCCCTTTCTCTTGAATACTCGCACATAGTCCTCCGCTCCAGCCTTATGCTTTCCTCAGAAAACCATTTATTGTATTTTCCTAAATCCTTTTCTGATTAATTGAGGAGGGATAGGCTCCTAAACTAAAAGATTAATGACTTCCTGGCCATGATCAAAGAGCAAGTTTTAAAGGCAGCACTATTCCTCACTTCAAACACAAGTTCTGTTCTCTGTCCAACAGGAACTGTTGTTAGCTGCTGTTATTACATTACAGCCTGTGGCCACGTTCCATTTCTAACAGGAAACCCCCCCCCCTCCTCTTCCCTCCGCCCCCCCCGACCCGGCCCTCTTTTGTCTTCAGACGCCCGCCTCAGCCGCAGTTTAGGAATCCAAACACAGGATGAATCCGATGAGCGGCCCCTCTCCGGCTGCCTCGAGCCCCCGGGGTCGGCGGCAGTGTGAGCGAGCAACCAGGAAAGGAGGCCAACGACCAGTCCCAGTTTCCTGCAGGCGCTCAACACAGCAGGGAGCCCCGACCGCCAGAAAACCAGAGCCTGATTCCTCCTCTGATGCACCTGACTGCCGCGGTCAGACCTCTGTCCCAAAACCCCGACACGGGTCAGGAACTCTCACGTGTGCAGACTGTAAAGCCCTCTGAGGCAAATTTGTATTTTGCGATTTTGGGCTATACAATGAAAAATGAATTTACTTGAACGAAGGCATCAGTCATGCAGATGACAAACAACCAGGTTTAAACAATTACTTTATTAACAAGGCTGCAACATAAAGGAGTAATGCTACTCACATGATCTGCGTTTCTCGTGAGGCTGAATGATGCGTCACTATTTAAATATTGCCGCCGCAAGGAATCGTGGGACGGAATTATCTCCTTTCCTTTGGTAAAGGATGGTCTAGTGGTTTCTATGCTAAGGGAGCTAATTAAGGAAGCGTTGCAGCTCCTTTCCTTCGCATTAGAGAATTCAAACATATCATGGCGGCCGCTTAGACTACTTGCGTGGCAAGTTTGACAATTTGAATCCAGCTTGTATTTCTGTGGACATTGCCTGATTACCCACAATTCATTACTCTGCGACAATCAGACAGAAACTTGGCACATGAAATGCATTCAGACCCACGGTTTACTCATTTAATTGTGCAAAATAATTCGGTTTTCCCAAAACAAGTATATAGGTTAATTGACAATTAGCTTATTCTGCTCCGGTAACCACGGTAACTGTTGTCTTCAGGAAGCATCAAATCAAATGACAGCAAAGCGAAGCATTTTCATTTTTGGCTTTTTTTATTTTTTGCAAATAGGAAAATAGTATATCTGGTATTACAAAAAAAAAAAAGACACCTGTGTTCAACCAGATACACAGTAGAGAAGAGAGAGAACATTGGATGATGATTAGGGAACACGGGTCTGGATGTAGGTCAGTAGAAGCAGCCCGGCAAGGCTCAGACACAAAGACAGCACCGGTTCAGACAGATCAACACGCCCGCCTGTCTGTCTGCGTTCAGCGGGTTTCTACATTGCTAAGCCTGGTTTTTTGTTTATTATGAAACCTAACATATCCATAATGCTAACAGACAGAGAGGTGACGGTTATTGCCAAGTGCTACATGCAGAAGTGCTCTACTTTTGGGTAGAATCAACAACAACAACAACAAAAAAGCACCAATGTTGCTCGAGCCAAGTTAAGGTTTTTTGGACCAACACAATCCGGTTACGTGAATACATGGTGTGAAGAACTGGTGGATTAACAATCACCAAATCCAGAGATCAAAGAGGAAATCATAGTAGCAACTCACTAACTTTCTTTCACTATTTTCTATACATTGTTTGGCTTTTTGATGGTTCCAAAACTTGTTATGGAACTGCCATAAGAGCAAAAGGACTTGATTTCTCGGCTTCCACTAACGCAAGTGCACTTGAAACCGGCAGACTCGGCTTAACGGTTTGTTAGTGGGATTTCAGATCCCGGACCGTAATCAGTCTGACATTCCACAGATTGATCACGCTACAATCAAAAAACTCACATCGGACCAAAAAAATCCTCTCTGGGAACACGACTCGATAGCTTAATGCACTGATTGATTAATAATCCTCGCCAATAAAAAAAACAAATAACATCTCTATAAAAGTTAAAAGCGGTACATGTTAACTTTATCCTTAATGTCCAGTACACTTTATAAGGACTACGCTAATAAGGAGAATTGAGTAGATGTTAGCTGCCTTTCCAGCAGTTTAAAACTATTTTTCTAGCTTTTATTGCTGCTATATCAGAGAGAAATGCCTACAGTACCTGGTACTGTAAATGAGAGAGACTTCTGCACCGTGGAGTCAAATGTAACATACGGGCCGAGTGCTTACTGGGCAGCACGCGGATTCTGAGAGAACTTCAGACAACAATGAGCTTATAAAGTGTCACGCACCGCGGGTGTAGCTTTCATGTTCTCGAACAGGCCAGAACAGGGTTTTCTGGTTTGGCGCCCCCCCCCCCCTGGCCCCCCTTTCCCGTTCCAAAATTCCAGTTTAATATAAGGGCGATCATATGATAAACAGCGGGGATCAGGTGAGGGTTCCATTCAAGAACGGACAAGCGCTCTCAGTAAAGAATTAGTGCGTCCCGGGGCCCGTGAAAAAAAAGGCATATACGGGTTCCAAAAGAGCGGTAATAACCACGAAGCTAGGATCCCCCCCCCCCCTTGCTGGGCCCAATTCAGGACATAATCACAATTTCACACTTCCAGCGATCGGCGTCCATGCGGGTAGAACACATTACTTTGTGAAAGTAAAAAAAGCTTTCTCTGTGTTGAACCCGGAAGTTTAGCCTTTGGGGAACGAGGCCAATCACAAAAGGTAGAATTTACAGAATTAGATATTCTCCTGTTGCTGGAAGCCACTGTAGTGTGATCAGTGGTTGCAAGAGGGGCCTCTGTAAGAATGTGACAGCGCGTGTGTGTGTGTGTGTGTGTGTGTGTGTGTGTGTGTGTGTGTGTGTGTACACACACAGGCCAAGAAATCCACTTTCAGCTGACTTTTTCCTGAGGTGGCAGCTCAGTAGAGCCACTCGGAAGAAAGATGCAAAACGTGTGTGGGGAAACCTCTCACCATTCTTCTGAATGTTCTGTTAGTGAAAGCACCAAAAGTCCCAACGGAGGCCCGGGAACCCCGCCCCCCCCCCCCCTTCCCAAAAGCCAGGGGGGGGTGGGGTGTGCATGACATGGCGGGGGCCAGGGGCCGGCAGAGGGCGTCTCACACGGTGGCTCTGATAATCCTGCCGGGCCTGGAGCTGCGGTGCACCTTGGTGTGTTTGGATAGGTGGTCGCTGCGGGCAAACTTCTTTTCGCACAGCGAGCACTCGTAGGGCTTGACGCCGGAGTGGGAGCGCCGGTGGCGGGACAGCTCGTCGGAGCGGGAGAACCTGACAGAAGAGAGATGTGCACATTAAGAGCACATTTATCTACCGATTGGTTTCGTGAAGCGGACAAAGGCCTCAATAGAGACATCGTTCAGCCTGTCGTGTCGTTGAATAATACACACACAGCGGGATTTCTAAGGCTCCCTATAGGTAGAATACTCGTTGGTCCTTATGAACGTCGAGGAATTATCTTTTTACTGTCAGACTAGAATTATAATGGTTTGACCCTCCTGGTTTCACCAACGTAATTGTTTATGTCCAATATAATGCCCTTAAATGTTTCCTAAATGGAATAAAAAACACATTTATCTCTATAAGTGACATTTATCATAAAGATAACTCATAAAAAAAATAAATCTAAATTGCTCACGCTTGCTACCCTATTTGTCCAGGCATTAACTTTAGATGGTGCCACCGGTCCACTATCATGGGGCACAAAGGTATTCACAACTAAGGGTCAGACCAGCATTCGCATTGGGTGAAACAAAGCAATGAACGCACCAGTGCAGAGAAACTGGCAAACAAAGTTTGACCCGTCTCAAATTTCGGCGCTCCTCCATGCAGCGTTACCCAGGAGAGCATACGATTACATCATAAACAGTTGTGCAGGGTTTAGCTATCTGATAACCCTTCATATTCATAGATCGAATAGGCCAACTGGACTTTGTAGATCGTGTTTCATGATCTTGCTGGTACATGAAAGGCCCGACCAGCCCACTGCATGAACCAGTAGGGGAACCCCCTGTAAGAGGGGGAGGGGGGGGGGGGGGGGTTTGCCCCTAATCGTAAACTCTGAATTCACGTACCTCCAGCCGCACTCGGGCCAGCTACACGTGTAGGGTTTCTCCCCCGTGTGGCGGCGGAAGTGAGCTTTCAGGTGGCTGCTCTTGGTGTACATCTTCCCACAGCCTGGGTGGGAGCACTTGTGGACCCTCTCCGTAGGCCCCAGCCTGGTCCCCCGGGGGGCCATGGCTTTCAACAGGCTCGGGCCGCCCATCCCAGCCACGCCCGTGATCTCTAGAGTCCTCACGGTGATGGGCAGTGGGGCGATCCTCACGTACTTCTGGTCGGGCGACTTGGCGTCTCCGCCGTGCAGGGACAGCAGGGCGGTGGTGGCGGAGGTCCCCTGCGGAGCCAGCAGGGTGAGATTTTGCCCGGCTGCACCCTGGAGCCCCATGACCAGATGGGTGAGCCAAAGGCCACTCTGGGCCGCGGGCGGCGAGCCCGCTGGCATCGGTGAACGGGCCACAGGTTGGGGCTGTAGCTGGAGGACCAGCGGACCGCCCAGGAGCATCGGCGGGCTCGCGGTGGGAGACGGGTTGGCTCGGGCGGAGGGGGAGAGGCCGGCTGGGCTCGGGCTCTTTGGCCCGTTCTGAGGGGCGTTTGAAGCGCAGGGAGGGGCGCCCGTCTCCAGGTCGCGAGAAGTGTCTGAGGGAGCAGCCGCCGGCGCAGCGGAGGACGGGGAGCCACTACATGCTAGAGGGGAGGCCTCCTCCTTCGGGGCTAGTAGCCCCTCTTTGACCACCTCCATCTTCTCCCTCAAGAACTCGTCGATGTCCTCCAGGCTCGGGGAAAACGGGGAAGACGGTGGGAAAGGGAAGTCTAGAAGCTTAGGCTCCCGTCTCGCCTGCTCCTCTTCCCCCTCTGCCCCTAGAAAAATATGCAGACACGTCCCATCGGCGTCATCGTCTTCGTCCTCGTCCCCCCCTTCCTCCTCGGCGCTGAAACTGTGCACGGCGCACAGCTGCACGACCTCTGGGCCGTCGCAGGAGGCCGAGCATCCCACCATCCTGCAGGCTCCGTCTACCAGGCCGAGGGAGAACATGCTGCTGTCCCTGAACACATCATTCTCCGAGGTCAGCGGTCTGCTGCTGAGGGACACCATTGATCCCGGCCGAATGCAGCGGAGAGGATGGAGAGCAAACACTATCCAGGGGTGCGATGCCAAAAACCAACCTGCAAGGGCAACATGAGATTGGACTGTGTTACCCAGCAGAAAGTAAGAGTGCACGAGGAGCCTCAGTGACTTCTAGCATCTGGCAGCAGAGAAGTAACTTACTGTACAGCCCGTTGGTTCACTAGGTTCTCAGAAAGCCAATTTGAATATGGGTTGTTTGTCCTACTTCATTTGTGTATTCTATTTAAATTACTTGAAGGGTCAAAAGACTATTTCTTCACTTTGATACAAAATAAACAAATATAGGTTTTCTAAGCCATGGACAAGAGGTTAGGTCCTACGGTGGAAATCACAATACTGATGAGACAATTTGCCAAACCGACACATAATGAGAAAACATCAATGTAACAAAACATTTGACTAATTGCATTTACTTTGGTGGCAATTTGATCAAATACAAGTATCTGTAAATAAGAATGGGCACGATAGAAACTAAAACATTTCAGTTTCTAAAAGTAGATTTAGACACGAGGCCCTCTTTGTTCTTTTGGTCATCATTCATTTAAGCCTGGAGTTGTTAGTGTACCAAGTGGTGAATCCACCTTTAACAAATTAGCAAATGATCGGTAAACCAAAAGCTCATATTGACATAAAGACCCCGGGCCAGCTGGGGGTCCGGCCTTCACCCCACCTTGAGCTAAAGCCAAGTTTGCCATTAGAGAGAAGAAAGTGGCCTCTTGAAGACATTTGCCATGAGCCTTTTAAAATTCACTTAGCTTCTTAGGGGGGCTTTTTTCCCCCCATTTGTGGTGCTGGTCAGGTAGAGATTAACGAAATATACATATGTAGACAATATGGTGAGCCGTGGTTAAATAAAAAAAAAAGATTCAAAAGTTTAAATTAAACGAAACGGCAAATAATTTGGCTGCGTGCATGTGTACGTGTATTTATCTTTGAAGACGGTCTGTAGTTTGTTGCACGACCCCCGTCAGCCTGACCTCCGGTTGTATTTATCCGAGGAGCTGCTCGCCCGCCCGCCCGCGCAGGGAGGCTGTTTGTTGCTGCTGTCAGCGGGCACATGTCGCAGCAGGGCCCCGCGCGACAGACACCACGCGGTGCACGCGGTGCACGCGGCCCCGCGCCGCGAGGAACACCAGCCGACCGGGCTCGAGGAAGGAAATGAACAGACGAAGGAGCGCTCGACAACACGGCACCCCGCCGCGAACGACACAAACAAATGCGCTAATGGTTTTCTGCTCCGTCCGACCAGGACGGGCCGCGCGGTCTCGACGTACCGTGCGTCGTTCGGAGGAGGCTCGGTCCGGAGGAGGCGGCGGTGCGGGGGGGGGGGGGAGAAGCGGCGACGTCGTCGGGCTCTTTCCGTGTGTTTATATCTCCCTCTTCCCTCTTTTAGCGTCTCCCTCCGTCGTGTTATTGTCGTCGCACGCTCACACCCCGTCCTTGCCACGGGTCCATGTTGGCATTCCTCCTTTCCGAGTGTCACGTGACGGCATTGCTGCACAACTCGGAGGCACGGGTCCGTTTCCCCGGCTCCGATTGGCCGCGCGCGGCGGAGGCTCGCCCTAAAAGGAGCGCTCTGATTGGTTGCCGCTCGATCAATTCTGTCTCCATGTGTCGACGGAGGGGATCGCGTTACAACCACTGGACGCGGTACAGCGCGGCCCTTTCGGCGGCTACGCGAAATAATGTAAACACCACGTAATGCAACAGCGTTAGCTTTTATATTGATGCCGAAGGAAGTACACTTGAATATACTACGCCATGTAATTATTTGAGGAGGCTTTGTTCGCCTTCAATTCACGCTTTTCTGAATGTAAATAAGCCATTAGAAATTGTGTTTTTGTGGCTGTGTGACACACTGGTCTTTAAACTTCTCCCACCGAGAGTGTACAGTGTGGTTTTCATGCTTATTTGATTTTTTTCTGCTGGTCAAGTAAATAAACTACATCAAAATGCTTTCCAGTCAAATTTTACTCCGACAGACTTTGATTTCTGTTACTCCAAAGGCAAACTCTGAGGCAAATTTGTATTTTTTGGTCTATACAAAATAAAATTAATTGAATAATATACTCAATAGAAAGCTAGGATACAACGAGTCCAACACATCCATAACTACAAATTGCATTCACTTTACCTGAAAATGTCTGAAGATATTATCTCCGTTTGTTAGACAGCTTGTTGTCTCGATCTTTACATGCATCATCAATGTGGGGCGTTGCAGGATTAAGCTGGTACACGTGGCCTTGGGGCAAAAGTCTGCTGCGATCAGTCCATTTAAGTCGATGCTGCAGCTATTTTCTGCTTCTAACCGAGGTCTTTGCAGTAATTTCAGTCAGTCAGTTTGAATTCATTTGTTTTAAATGAACATGCATCTTGCAAAGGGTTCTTTGTTGTTTCATAAAATACAATTTATTAAAAAGCTGCAAACATAGAAACTCCAGGAAGAAATCTGTCTAGACTTATTCCTCAGGCCTGAGTTCTAGGTTCTAGTTGCTTATCTCACATTTGAGATAAATCTTGGTTTCATAGTGAGAAACTGGTTTGGAGTAAAGCTGCAGAACGCCCTGCTGTTTGCCAACAATAAGAGAGTGTCACGGTAGTTCATGTTGGGACAGCTGACGTCTGACAGTGTATAGTGAGTCATCTACTATTAAAGAGACATGTTTTGTGTGTACAAAAATCACCACATGGCTCTCTATTGCTGGAGCATAGAGTGGATGTAGGAAATACACAAACTAATTAAGAACTAAGTGAACATTGAAACCATTGCAAAAATCTTCACATTAATCTGTGACTCTCTTCAAAACACAGAACATGATGAAAACTGCAGTCTGCAGCTGGAGAACACCACATTTATTTGGGGGACATTTTTCAAAGTACAAAGGTGCATAAAGAAATGTCCTCGTGTCGCCGTCACCGTGCCGCTGATCCGTTGCACAAAGGGGCCCTCTGCTGGTTCACCAAAGCCACACAAGGGCCCTCAGCAGCTCCTGGGCCACGTTGAATACAGGATCTCGATTATGCAGAAGGTCCCCTATGTGACGCCGCACGTTTCCTATTCAGGAGGAAGCCAGGTGAGGTAATATTGATACGAAGGACTCTCACCCAGGAGACCAATGTTTGTGTCCAGTGTGAAATTAATTAAACATACTTAATTTAACTCGCGTGGACTCAGCCGGACTGTGGTTTGTATTGCCTCGAAATGTACTTACAACCCACACTTTGACGAGTTGTGAAGAGTGAGATATTGTTGCCACAGAAAGACAAGCTTATAAGTCGAGTTGACACAACAGTGCCAGAGGTGCACATTAGTAGGTGAGGGTGTAGAATTGGCATACTTGTATCAGGTAATGAGTGCTGGCTCTAACTGATCCTCCATTGAAAGAGAGCGAGCCCTGGGTGAGGGGACTATGTGCATAATGCATGCACTGCAGAAGGAGTGTCAAGTCTCCAGCAGGGTTTCTTAGCAACAGGACACAGCAGGATGTTGCTCCTTCCAGGGAATATATGAAAAAAAGCAACTCACTTTATATATGAAAGTAGCTGGATTTACCCACAATAAAGAGTTGTGTTAGCGATGAAATTGACGCATTCAACCGCGATGCATTACTTTCCCTTGAGAACACATTTCTGGATCTTTGCAATGACATTGAAGCACAATTTGTAAAAGGGATTATATGTATATATATAAATAAATCAAATACCTGGAGAGATCCTTGGGACGAGAAGAACAAGGCAGAAACCAGAACTAGTTAACCAGAAGTTATGTGCCAACTCGATGACATCGCTTGAAGAAGTTAGTCCCCAAGCTTCCGCCACAGGCAGTATATAATCTATACATATATTATATACACACACACACATAATGTGAATTTAGCTTTCCTATTTACACCTACCTGTACGGTTCTATTTGTGTCTCTTGTCTGAAGGTGCGCGCGGCGCCACCAGGTGGCAGACAGTGAATAATGCAGATCACCACAGAAGTCATGTTGCACGGAGCTCAATGTCACAAAACAAGTAGCTAAATCCATATAAAAAGTAAGTTGCCTTTATTAGAAGCTGGAAAACAAAGACATCAACATTGTTGTTGGTAATACGTGTTTTCTTTTTTTGTAAGACGACAATATTGCCAAGACGGTGTCGTCATTGCGTCGCACTTTTCTTCCCACAACATGCAAAAGATTCAAGTTGAGCGTTCCCGCTCCGCGCTACTGACAAAAGCTTCTCCTCTCGGTCTTGTGTAACAATCACAACTTGGCTTACATTAACATTGCCAGAACAGCAGAAGGTAGAAAAACAAAACACATCACAAACAGTAGAACAGAAGAATCCTTTGAGTGGATGAAGAGGAGAAATTCGCAGCCTTGTGCCTCCTGTGGGATGATGGAGCGGAACCTCTTTCAAGCCCTCAGCGCCGCCACCTACAGGCCGGTATCTGGTCCTACTCCAACAGAGCTCCCTGAGCTTTACACGATTTCCAATTGATTTCCAATCATAATAAATTGACATCAACGATTTGGTGGCAGTTCAGGACCTGGACGTAGAAAAACCCACTAAGCTGCTGACGACCGTTGTAGGAGAATTGAATGTGCTTCTGCATTAAGGACTCGGTTCAGGATGGATTTGCGGCCACAGGACGAATGGGGAGTTTCTACTGAACGACGCCTAAATAAATGCATTTATTAAAGTTCCCGCGGTCACAATAGAAGCTTCGTCTCATCTTTTTTTTTCTTCTTTATTTTTGGACTTCAAAAAAGTATTTATCAAAAACAAAAATAGAAAAAGGGACATTCTCCACCTGATCGCAGAGTCACTAGTTTTGAGATCTTTTATGGCTTCGGGTGGTCTGTTTATCAGAGTCGCTGACGAGCCACTAACGAATATGAAGGTACATCGAAAAACAAATGCCGGGTCTGTGCTCAGCTGCCTACTAGACCTCTATGTTGTGGGGAGGCGAGGGGGCGGGGGGGGGTTTAAAGGACCATGGTAAATAAAGGGCAGAACAGATTAGATATGGTCAACTTTTTTTCTTTAAAATCAAGATACATTTTATTTCTTTTCTTAAAAAACAAACATTACAAAAAAAATCTGAATAGAGAATTAAAACAATGAACTGACAGGGAAAAAAAACATTCATTTTTTTTTTCTCGAGCTCTCAAAAACAAAACAAAGAAAGGAAACAAAAGAAACATCTCTTCCTGCATTTCTTCAAAATCATAATAAAAAAAAGATTTAGGGGTGCCTGGCACAAGGGGTTGAATGCTGAGAAGATGCTGTAACCATGCAGGGAGGTAGGGGGGGTCGTGTGTTTCTGAAGTGGGGGGGGGGGGTTGCTTCACGTAGCAATGGCGCGGCGTTAAGAAAGCCTGACATACAGCATCAGAAACGCTTCAACACAGGCAGCAGATGTGCTGAGAGAGAAAATAAAATTAAAGCCAGACCTCTTTACAAGCATACAAATTCATAATACGAGTACATAAAAACACACATGCCGGCTTGAAACGTGCGATAGTGGCGGCCCGCCAGTCCGCCAGTCCACACAGCACGCCTGCAAAACGGATCCAACGGATGTACGAGGCAGCGGCACGACGACAGCTCAGCACCAAGACGGCCGGGAACGAGCGGGGGACCTCGGAACTCGTTTAAAGTTAAAGGAACGGAAAAGAAATGGTTTTAAAATAACCACCGAGCCAACGCGTTCCAACGGGCTCCTGGTTTTAAAAAAAGCACTGGGTACCAAAAGAGAGGCTTAAAGGCTTAACGCTTCGCTCATCGGATACAAGGGAGAGCCCTCGGGTAAAACACCCCCGCCCCCCCGGCAGGCGCGCCCATCGGCGGCGTACGCGCGGCGCCGCGTCAGCTCACGGAGAAAACAAACAAACGAGGAGGGAAGTGGTTTTGTTCACTCAGGACGGATGCTCACCAGCACTGAGCTGTGGGGGAAGAACGCAGAATGAGAATAACAACGCCGGGGTACCGGGGGCAAAAAGGGGAGAGGGGTGGGGTGGGGTTGGGGGGGCACACCAAGTCCAAACCATTGAGCCAGGCCACCAGGAGAGGAAAACAAAACGAGAGATATTCTAAACGCAGAGCAACGGAAGAAAGCAAAAAGGTTTGAGAAGAGACGTGGAGGATGGGCGTCAGCGGGGTCCGTCCTCTAGTCTTCTCCAGAGGGCGCCTCCTCTTCTGAGCCGTCCTCCTCCTCTTCGTCCTCCTCCTCCTCGTCTCCCCCGCCGGCCTCCTTCGTCGTCTTGGGGGCGGGGGAGGTCTCCTTCTTCTCTGCCGCCTCCTCTTCCTCCTCCTCTAGGGGACTCTCGGGGTCCTCCTCTTCCTCTTCTTTGGGTGAGCTCTTCTCCGGGGCCTTGGCGCTAGAGCGCCCCTTGCCCTTCCCCTTCATTGGGCTGGGGGTCACTGGAAGGAGGGAGGGGGCGGGGAGAGACATTAACTTTCTGCGTTAGGGTCACATAAAGACATGTCCTCACACCCTCACTGATGTTGTCACATGGACCTGGCTGGTTGCATGAGGTCGTGATTCAGAACCGCTAAGCTAATGAATTATTGACATAACATGGATTCTGTCCCCAGGAGACCTCTCACCTGTGGCCTTTAGTCGGGGCTTGGGGCTTTTCTTCTCCTTCTTGTCCGGTCGCCCCCGTCGGATCACCTTCTTGCCCCTCTTCTTGGAGCGGCCGTAGTCGCTGTCGTCGTCGTCCTCCACCGTGAAGTCCTCGTCGCTGCCGGACTCGTCAGCTGGAAACGAGAGGCCACACGAGGACGTTTTCATCACAGGTCACCGGCTGACTAAGCCAAGCTAACGAAATTGCTAGTAAATGTAACACGGAACCACTTTTGATTACACACCTGCAGACTCATTGATACAAACATACATAGATTATTCAATGTAGAATAATCGAGCACACAAACCAGGCAGGATGCAGTTTGATTGACACTTAAACCACATTGTGGGATGAACCCTCAGGCCTTTATAACCACGGCCCTGATAGTTTAGATAGATAGAAAGTCTAAACTGATCTGATTAAGATCATTGGCACTAATCCGGGTTGGGTAACGTTGGCCTGGACTCGACGAGTCACCTCAAAGATGTTTTAATGGGGGGAAAACGCCTCAGAAGAAGCGCTGACCAGCCACTTGACCCCAGATTTTCTTAAAACCATAAAAATACAATGAATGATTTCCTTTACTATTGAGTCAAATGATAACATTTCAAAGTATTTGCTTGATTTGATCCGATCCCTCGAACATGGAATGGACGAAGCGTGCAATGCGACCGTGTGTGTGGGCGGCTGTACGTACGGTCGTTGTAGGGCTCCTCTTGGTCTTCGTGCTCCTCGTCCTCGCTGCCGCCGTCGCCCAGCAGGATCTCCCTCTGTTTGGACACGGCTTTGGAGGCCGCCTGGCGCACGGTGCGCTTTCGACTCACTTCCTTCTCGTCGTCGCTGTCATCTGCGCAAACGGCACGCGGCGGGTTACAGGCGGCATTCAGCAGAGCAGTTAGCGACCGTGCTAATGTCAATAAGCCCCAACCCACATTCACTAGAGCAATGTTCAGCATTTCCCCGCTGATCAGAGAATATTTGAACAAATGTAGTGACTGCGATGCCTTTAAATGGGAAATTCTAATTTTGTATATTCCTAAAAACACAAATGTTTTTTTTATTTTTTATTCTGGACACGTTCTCTGTGCCAGCCTGTTCAGTTCAGAGAAAACGCTCCCAAAAAACAGATTCATTCATCTGATGGCTGATGAGGGGGCATTAAGGAAGTTATTGGGAGGGGATTTAGATCAGCCACGAGGAATCAATCTACTTAACCCAGCGGGGGAGGAAGGCCACACACGTCTGTGTAATAAGTTTCTTTTCACTGATGGACCGACGACACCTTCGACAGCGATTACTCAAAACACGACGACTCAATGTGTCGTATCCAGCTGGGGGTTGTGGGAGGGATTCACGGCGTCACGGAGGGCACGCGGTCTACAAGCCGTCCAAGACCTTTATGCATGTAGAGACCAATATCCACCACCATCCGCCTGTCTGGCCCTTTAACACAGTGGTCCCCAACCTTTTTTTACCTCACGGACCGGTTTCATGTCAGACAATGTCTCGCGGGCCGGTCGAGAAGGTCCGACGGGGGAGTAGTAGTCGCGCGCTCTGTGTTCGCTGGTCGTGCACGGTAAAAGGACATGGCCTGGTGACGCGTGTCAGAGGGACGAGCGCACATTATTAGGAGAAAATCCGGTAAATTTTCAAAATAAAACATTTTTCAGAAAAAAATAAAATATATAAGCTTTCTGTGGTGCTGCCCGGCGGTTGGGGACCGCTGCTTTAACAGACCGGAGACGTCATCCGTAGACACGTCAGTTAAAAAACATACACCTCCAACTCGGGTTTGTTCGGTGTGGTTTATTCTGGACACGTAACTGAACAGAGCTGCTCAATCCGAGTGCCCCCCCGAACCCCGAACTCATGGGAGGCGGTTGAGTGAGTCTGAGTACTTTAAATGGTGTAAACATGGACGGGACAGCGCTTCGTAAAAAAATAAATATTTCAGATTGAGGACATTTATTTCATACTTTTTACGATCGTTTTTCAGGCTCTGTCAAAATAGCTTGAATAACCAAATAAAGATTTGGATAAATAAATTAGTAAATAAGCTTAATCTGTTGTGTTTTTCCACCCATCTTTATCCCTAATATTTTAAATGTGTACATTTTAATACGAACGTCCTTTGTTTTTACGTCACCATGCTTTCCTTGCTTATCCTGTCACATTGCAATGACTTGTGGGTAATTGGGGAAAAAGCATCGGATGTTGAAACCTGTTGGAATTATTTTCAGCTTCATGTCCAATGATATTTAGATATAAAATCATATTATATAATTATATTTAAGTAAGTATTTAATACGTTGAAGAAAGCATCACCTCAGTGTGTCGAGTACAGAACGGAGAATTACCTGCAGGCCGTTTTCTCTTGGGCCCCCTCTTAGCGGGCTTCTCCACCTTGGCTTTCTTTGCCTTTTTCCCTTTCTTTTCTTCGTAGTCGCTTCCCCCGTCTTCCTCCTCCTCCTCTTCCTCCTCTCCAAAGTCGTTGTCCTCCTCATCGCTGCCAAAGTCGTCTGCAGAGGCGACAGGGAGGGAGGGTCACCGGTGCTCTAAGTGCCTCAGCCAAACGTTTGTCTACAGATCAGACAATGGACGCGACTTACCTGCCGATTCATTTTTGGGCTTGGTTAGCTTCTCATCAGACTCCTCACTGCAACAAAGATGGAGTGGAGTAAGGAAAACGTCTTAGCAAGCAGAGGACCCGGGGAGATGCTCAACAAAGCACCGATTTCAGTCACACTTCTCGCTTCACTCTTCTCATCTAATAAATAGTCAAAAAGCGACACTTCTGAAGAAGGATGGAGTGAACAGATCTCTTTTCTATGCACACATTTGTTCACATGCTTCTCTGAGTCGTTTACTTGATCTCTATCTGGCAGGTGCACAAAGGCACAGATGCCATAAATCATTGAGGGACTGCAGTTCGCATGCTAATAGCAAGAGACGTCCACGGGAGCCGCTGAATGTCCGTTGAGACGTCATGAAGCTCCTCCTTTCACTGACTGCATTTATACTCAAACCCAACGCGGCGTTACTGGAGGATTCTGACCACATTAACGGCCGCCTCCGTCTTATAATAAAGCAAAGTCAAGATTTCAGTTTAACGTCTTTTTGAGTGGAGTTTTTCCAACACGATTAGCCGCCTACAAGTGACCCTGTTGTCATGGCAAAGAAATGGCCATCTCAATAAAAAAACAATTGAGATGAGATTAATTGTTTTACTAAAACTCATTTACTGTGCAACTGGACCGGAGCAGAAGGCACAGCTGGGGTTTATCCCCCCCCCCCAAAAAAGAAGACACCAGTGGGTCCGTGCTCTGGCTTACAGGACACAAGCGCGGGACGGTCACCATTCAGCCGCGTCAGGTAGATTTACTCCCGTAGCCGAACATAAAGCCCATCTGCACTGTGCACCGGCCGCTACATATATTACTGTACCACCTTCTGGTGTACAAGTGCTGACTCAGGCCGACCACCTCAGGTGGGCCTCATCAACCCCCCCGCGTCTGCAAACGCTGCCGAGCTGTTGGGGCACAAATCCTGCTCCTCTCTGCATCAATGCGTTGAAGGAAGAACCAGCGGCGCAGCGCGGAGGACGCCGCGCACAGGCGACTTTGACTCACCTGTCCTCCTGCGAGTTCTTTGAGCGCTTGTGCTTGGGCTCACGAGGGGGGGCGCGCACCTTCTTGGGCTTATTCTCGCCGTACTCCTCATCTGTAGAAGGAGGACAAGATTTATTTCCCCTCGCAGGAATCAACACACGGAGGTCCAGATCCGGTTTGACTCATTTGTACTTCAATAGGAGGTATTTGTAGTATTTGTGGTATTTGTCACCTGCATCATCGGACTCGTTGAATTGTGAGTAGTTCACCACTTTCCTGTTCCTGTGGAGAAGAATGACCATAGAACACATTACGTATGAGAAGGACCAAGTTGCTTCCCTGCTGCTCGCTGGATAAAAGACAAGCAAATACGGACTTGGCGGGAAGGTCCCACCTAGACGCAAGAAGACACGATGCAACAGCAACAAGGCAGCGGCGTATGAATGACCACTGCAGGGCTGCATTGTGTTTATTAGTTCAATTATTAGTCACATAATATATACTCAATATAAGATTGAGTATATATTATATATATATATATATATATATATATATAAAGCGTTAGGTTGAGCGCGGAGAGTCTGTGCGTCTGAGTGAAGAGCAGCGGCCCTCAACCCGCATGACAATCGCATGTAAATGGGAGAATGTGGAGAACGTTTTCCTCTGCGGGCCGGTGCCACTGGTGTTGTGACTCCCATGCACGGCACTTATACACTGACACGTGCGAGAATATGTGTGTGTGTGTGGCGCTTGCAGCAGCGGACTGACATACAGCCCCACAACCCCCCCAAAATGATGGGTTAGTTGCAGCCCTGAAGCGCTCTGAACCAGACACCCGCCAGCCGTCTTCAGTTTCAGAGCACAATCCGACGGCGCGTACGGGGGGGGGGGGCGTAGCCTCGGGTGAAGCTGCACTGGTTTGAGGTTAAAACCACTAAAATTGTTTTGCATTTAGGTAAATACCTTTAAAAACAACCTACGAGTACAACACACAAACTGGTAAAACACACGAAAGAGTTGTAGCCAATTGATCACAATTTCAATCAAGCTGATCGATTATCACCAACTGTTGGTTAGTCGACTGTTTTGCACCTGAAATTCAGAGTAAGATTCAATAACTCTTCTGTTACTGATCAGTCACACACACACACGCACTACACTCGCTCACGTTGTGCCAGAGCTGTAACGCACGGGCTGAAGGCCGCCAGTGCAAACACACAGCTGCCGAGCGCACGGCTACGCTAATGAACCAGTGAGCACCTGCTCGGGGGGGGAAGAGACGGCTGCACGTGACCACAGAAACGCGCAAAGACAGATGTCCTCTGCCCGTCCGGCGGCTGCAGCGGCGGATTTAACCTTTTCGCTCAACGTTGCAGCGGGGATGATGATTGGTCAACGGCGGGTAGGCTGCTGCATTAGGATATGTAGTCATCTGAAACCAGAACTTCTCTGTTGACCGTCGTCTTTGCACACACCGCCACATTTAAAGAACCGGCGCTGTAGCACTGGGCCCGGCGTGTTCGTTCACTGCTGCACACAGTGAGGAATGAACTACATTCACATGAAAATGGCAAATTTCCGCTTCTATAAAAAGGTTTTGTTAATGTGCATTCAGGGTCAACTTGAGGCTGAGAAATCTGGGAGGGTTTTTTATTATTAATACGACAACAACCTGAAATCATGCCATAGCTGACATATATATTTTATTAATACCACACACACTTTACATTGAATCTGTCTGAGCGAGTCTTTCCAGTCAAACCCTAGAAGTAAATTTCAAAGGGAGCACATCCAGCATTCTTTCTACATACATGCAGCATCAAGTCTAATTAAGGCGAATGACCCGGCAGCGCGTTCCTTCTTCTCACGCATGCTGTTGTCTGTCTGAACTACCGTAAAGCCCCAAAAGAATACGTGTTTTGGCAGACAATGTGCACCATCAGGTCTAACAAGTGTTGACTATTTCACATTTGTGGAGACAAATACACAGTCTTAACATTTTGTCAGTATCCACAGATGGTATGCGAGTGCGGTTTGTGTTTAAATCAAAGCTACCTCCGTTGGACCGGATGGCTTTGCCCACTGAGGGAGCCATTTCTCCCCTCCACATGTTGGCCTTTTCAAATGACCTATTTCTGCATGCAATATTGTCGAAAACGAACAGAAATGACATCTGAGAGGAGGTTGGTGTGTTGTTTAAAGATTAAAAAGTACTTTTGATGATGTAACCATAGTTGTGTTAGAGATATCAACGGGGAGGGTCCTTTCGTGGTCCCAAATGCATTAATAACATTAAGAGCACATGAATTACGCCTCTTTCCACCCTTTATAAATGAATGCAGCGCACGGGGGCTCATCTAATTCCCCCCAAAAGCTCGATTCACTTCAAGAACCGGAGCGATTCCTTTTTTTAAAAACGCCACCAATGAGATTACAAAATCTCGCGAGATTTCAAGGCGAGAGCATAAAAATGACTCCGATTTCAAGTTAAAGGCCGTATATCATTTGTATGAAAAGGGGCTGTGAATACTTCACGCGTTGTAACGACGCGTGGCGGGTGGTTGAATTAGTTCTGCGCCTTCCTCTGACACCAACCAGCGGCGATTATTTAACGGCGGGAGTGAAAACGCAAGAGCCGCTACGCGACATTCTCACTGACCAACACGCCTTCTCGCGTCGAGCCGACCAAAATGCCCTTAATGTGCAATAGGTAGACTACCGACTAACCGAGTCTGCGCGGCAACCGGATCAAATCCCGAGGCCGGACGCCGCCTCCTCCGGCGCTTTTCTTTCTCGACATTCGCCGTTGGTGAGTGGAGGGGGTGGGGGGGGTGTTGGCGTTTTTTTTGGAGCCTCCCCTGGATGAATGGGGTCGCCATATTCTTATTCTCAAGCCAGAGAGGGAAAAATAGTACCAGGGCCTGGCGTGAGAGTCGTAAAACGTTAGCTGGTTAAAATCACACCGCCTGTTCCCCCCCCCCCCCCCCCCCGTTCGGCCTACATAGCGGCCAACAAAGCACACCATGGATTCTTAAAAAATAAAAAATAAATAAAATAATAAAAAGGCAAGGGAGACACGACACGGCGCGTTTCTCAACGAGACATGGCGAACCATCCACGCCGCCGGGCTCCATGTTGCACGCGAGCAGCGAGCCGCACGCGCGCACAAATTCCCATTATTTTTTCATGAAACAAACACATTCGCAGCTCATTCAAATCCACGCAGCATGGACGAGGCGTGCGCGCTATCGGCGGAGCCTGCCAGCGCGGTGTCCGTAACTAGCGTTACGCAGAGCGGAGGACATATTTGGCACACCTACCTCACTGGTCTTGACATTTTGCAGGAATACTGTAGAGGTTAGGGATGTAAGAAAGAAGAGGGAGGGGGGGGAGGAGAAGCAGCAGCAGCAGCACAGGCAAAGAATGTATATATCGGTTCCCGCTCTGCAAAACACCGACGGGAGCGAGCTTGGCGCACAACTCCGCCGTCCGAGCTAGCGCGTGAAAATAAAAGTACGGAGGCGTCTCGTCCGCCAAACGCAAATCTTCTTTAAAAAAATTTTTTTTTACCCTCAGCTACTCAAAATGGTGAATAAAACAAACTGAAACTGCAGCCCGTGTGCAACCAAACCTCGTGGCCTCGAGGGGTGGGTTCCTCGAGGACAAGCCCCGCCCCGCCCCCCCGTGCACCGCGGCGCTCCGCTCCTCCCATTGGCCGGTTTGAACGACGACCGTGCTTTGCATTGGCTACTTTGGCTGCACGTCAGAACGATGTTAGCATTTTGTTTCCCCGCCTCCGTTACAGCAGGCTCGGTTGATGCCTCACTGTTAAGAAAACAAAAAGAGGCCCTCCGGTTGGATGCAAACATTTATTCCTGTGGCTCCCCAAAGACCACAAAGCAACATTAATTAATTACAGCTTTGTGCACAGTCATCCTATGTATGAAATTATCATAAATGTTTCAGTAATCAGGTTGACTGTGGTTTTGCTGCTACTTAGGCTAACCCTGATCTGCCCACCTGGCAGCACGCTGCAACATGAGATGCAGGTAGAATACCGATGCATAGCAATACAAGCTGTAAAGTCTACAAATGACATACCTCATATTGCTGATAAGAGTTCATGCAATCAAGTGGGCTTCACAAACTCATCGTGCGTTCAATGCTGTTAGGGTAGAACAGAGAAGTTTTTGAACATGATAATTTATATACAGCACTGTAAACCTGGTTCTTCAAATCGTGACCACCTGGATTTGTCGGCACACAGTCTATGGCAAATATTCACATCTGAACAAAGCAGCGTGCTGCTGTTTTGTCACAGATTAATCTCTGATGAAAATTTTAAAAAGGACTTGCAACTCGATTTACCTGCAGTCTTTTTACTTGAAAATGCTGGATAACTTTCCCCCCTGAAACTTTGTCTCTATCAAATGTGTCAAAAGTGTGCCGTGCACAAATTGCAAATTTTCAAATTCATTACTTGCCCTTCCTTTCTCGAATCAACAAACACTGTTGATCACAAGTCAATGCTTGATTGCTCAGATCTTTTTAAAACTTTTTATTTATTTTGCATTTTCAACACAACAATGATCGACATTCAAATAAACATAATAAATAATCCAAACAGTAATTTTAGTATCAATAGTTTGGTTTTCTTGTAGCGAGTATAAATGCTAACCTTTACATAGGTGCATATGTACACCGACAAATTCTAATACACGCGCGTTCAATCTACGTGTGCACAACCATCAACGTCAACGGACTCTGTGGGTTATGGTTGGTGGTTTTGCATTCCTCCAGTTCATACCTATCATTTTCCTAGCAATCATTAAAAGAGCACGTACCTCAGACTGTTGTCTCATAAGTCTTCCGGAAGAGACCGCTCCACTTCAATTCTAAAATTGATTTCTGCTTTGATACTTTTCCAAAACCCCTTTTCTCCAACCTAATGAAGCCGATGGATCCTTCACATATGAAGAGATAATAAGAGGTCAATTGAAATATATGGATTTTATTTTCCAGTCAAATTCTTTCCACAATTTGATATTGATTCCTTTATGACATTTGTTGCACAGATCTCTTTTAGCTTCAATTATAACATTTTATTCCAATTCCCACTTTTCCTTGATCTTCCTTGTATTTTGTGAAGTGTCAGCTATTTTTTAGTAATCAAACAGTATTGAATTAAATCAGTTTTTTTTTCTGACTGTCTTTATGGTTTGTAATAGTGTCTCATTTGAAGATACGTACACACGTCATTTGATGGAAGTTTATACTGTATATCTCCTGCAGCTGGGAGAAGGATTTCAGTTCTGTTTTGTTGATAATTGATTGATCCTCTTAAAACCTTAATCCCATTTTAAGCCCATCTTCTAAATCCACTATCCCACACAGAGGGAGGGGATTCTATGTTCACTATAAGTGGTATATGAGTTTGGTGCTTCAAAAGTTATTCATTATTGTCAAAATCGTCAGTGTGTTTTATCCATTTGTTTTCATTCATTTTCATTATATTAAAGGACTTTACCTGAATAAAGAGCAGAGGGATATACCCTTAGCTGTGCTTTGTTCTACCGTGGTCCATCCGGTCTCCTGGTTGTTTCCAATCCATGCCACCATGTCTACTAGTTGTGCAGCCCTTTAATACAGTTTAATTTATTACACATGTAGAAGATACAAGCGGCAGTGTGTCAGGTCATTTTTTGTTTGGTTGACTAACTTGGCCTGGTCTGTAATTGGCAGGAAACATCTGTGTTACAGGGTTAGCTGTAATATTAATTCCCACATTTATAAATCCTTGTTTAGTCCAGTGAAAGGAAACCGCCTCATTTAATTGTGTGAGCCAAATCTCTGATACCATCATCGCCTCTGGATTGTTTTCATTCATTTTATACCCTGATAATGAGCCGTATTTGTGCGGACACAGCATTCCTTCAGGAATGGAGAGAAGTGGGGTCCTCATAAAAAAAATGTCGGCAAAATATTTCATGGTCTGATCGACCTTCATCCACTAACCCTTGAACGTGTATATTTTGCCGCGTAGCTTCTGCTCGGGGCTCGATGCTCGGCACAGGGAGGGTGACAGTGCATCCCCCTCTAGATATTGTGACCGTTCACTCTGGCCTTTGATCTCGAAGCGAGATGATCCGTGTAACAAATTCTTCTCTGAGGCCCATCTCTACCGATGTTTGTGCCAGGAACGACCAGCCACCTCTGTCAAATGCATCCACGCCGAGGAGCGCTGAAGGTTGTCTGTCTCCTAACGCTATCGATTGTAAATTTAGGGGCCTTCTTACGTTGCTTGTTCCTTTTAATATATTTTCGGGGTTCTGGTAGCCAGGATGGAGGTCAGGATTTTATAGTCCACGCATAGGAGGCTTATTGGACGATAGCCGGCGCACTGTGTGGGACCTTGTCCTTCTTCATAACCGTAATAACCCAGAGTTTCTGCTTTTGACTAAATGAGAGAATCAATTAAAAAATGTCAGTTACGGCTTCATTGTAGCTGCCAAAACAAAGTTTAGTATTTCAATTTCAAATCAATCAGTTCCAGCCGTAGCAGTCTGGAGGTAATCACCTGGAGGCTCCGGGTGGAAGTAACCTTTGAGTCTCCGGCTGCTCGAGGTGCAGGAGTGTGAGCGAGGTTCTGCTGTCATATTGTGGGCTGCGTGCACATTGCTATGTTGGGAATAGGCATGTGTGTGTTTTCATGTCGAGGCAGGCTGCAGAATCCTCATCGCAAAATGAGAACTTGCTGAAATACATTTTTTTTTTCAGGGGGACGCTGATGAACTGTAAAAAAAAAAATACCCCGCACCCTCTCTTTTTCTCTCTTGCTTCAGCCGCCTCAGACGTGCTTCCTGTGCCTGTGTTCGGGGATGATGCCGGAGTGGGGGAGCAGGTGTGTTGCCACGGTAACCGGGGAAGGGACTCTCGCCTCTCTCTTCGTGGCTTCACAGTTGCCTCGCGATCATCCTTCAGTCCGACATGCTGCATACTCCAGCCTGCAACAAAAGAGACGTCCTTGCACCTCCAGAGACATGCTGATGGCACACCTGTGGGCCTAATGACTAATTCAGCGTGTCCAGCAGGTAGGGAATGCATGTAGCAAAAAGTATACAGTGTCCATGCATCGAGTCCAAGGATAAAAGTCTTATTCACCTACAATCCCCTTAATTTAATATCTAACTCAGGTAAACGCTTTCTCTATGCTTCTTATTAAATGCCTCGCTGCAAACACGTGCCACCTCATTTCCTCAGCTGTGTAGCATCGCCACCTTGTGGCTTGAATGTTAAACTGCAATGCATCTTGGAGAACGGCCTGAAGTAGCCCCAACTTTAGGTTGTACTTTAGTACAACCTAAAGTAGCCCCAACAGAAAAGTCGTGAGTTTCAGCCGCAGTGGACCAACGGAGAGGCTCACGTTTGAGTAGGTTTTTGTTTTCATGACGTTGCATGTGTGAGAAGTCAAAGGGAACGACAACACAAAGCTCTTGCGCTTCTTGTCACAGAGTGTTTAATCTCTATAAACAGACTCTGGATGCACATGGAGGAGCAGGTTTGGCAGCGGCATGCATCCATAACAAACCTTTTCAGAGCATTGGAGTCATAGCCTCATACAAGAGGTGGACATAGTCGTTGTGCCATCCCCGATTGGTTTACAGTGTGGTTTAAGTATTTGCCCTCTGGCTGTTTTCTTATTTCTTTGCATATTTGTCACCATTACATATATTTCAGATAATCAAAGACATTTTCATTTTAGACAAAGAGCTGAATACATACAAAATGCAATTTTAAATGATGATTTAATTTATTAAAGGTTATGAAGAAATATCCCAAGCTTTGAACCTCTCACAGATCACCATAAAATACATCATCAAAAAATAGAAAGAATATGGAACAACCACAACGCTGGACAAGGAGAAATGAATCAGAGAAGCAACCAAGAGGCCGATGGGAACTCTGGAGGAGCTGCAAAGATCCACAGCTGAGGGGAGAGAATCTGTCCTCAGAAGGACGCAGCTGTGGACAAATCTGGCCTTTATGAAAGACGCTGTTAAAGTCGCTGTCAAACCATCAGAAATCCGCTCTGGAGTTTGTCACAAGCTACGTGGGAGACACAGCAAACAGCTACATTACATTACACGTCATTTAGCTGAGGCTTTTATCCAAACCGACTCACAATAAGTGCATTTCAACCATAAGAATACAAAGCCAGAAGAACAAGAAAGTGCAATTTCATCAAATTAGCCCATTTACAACTTGCTATAGATAAAAGCAATTATAAGTACAATTTAGTTTGCGCCGGAAGATGTGAAGGCATGTGGAACAACGCGCTCCGGTCATATGAGACCAAATTGGAACCTACGTAACATTTTATGTTATTTATGTGTTTTCTACATTTACACAATTATTCTCCAAATCCCTGTTGATTCCAATTATTACGCAGTTCTTTTGGGGAACTTGTTTTTCTGTAAAAATGTTTCCATCACTGCCGTTTGGAGCTAAAGCTGATTAATAACAGCGAGCGGGGCCGACGCCAACGGCTGTCGCGTTGTAACCTTTTCCCCCCTAAACACAGAATGCAGAGTGTTTTTATTCCGGTGGGAAAGGGGCTTAATATGCACTCAAATAGAACATAC